ATCTAATCTGCAGTCTGCTGCAAATAAAACAAAGATGTCTTCCTTTAGCGGAAATGCCTGTGTCATCAGCGAACAAAGATTTGTGGCAACCCTGAGGCAAATCAGGGAGGTCCGAAGTGAAAATGTTATACAATATAGGCCCAAGAATGCTACCCTGAGGAACTCCTGCTCTAACAGGTAGTCGTTCAGATTTTGAATTTTGATAATTTACCTGCAGAGTTCTGTCAGTTACATAATTTTGAACTAATTTCATAATATAAAGTGGAAAATTAAACTTTTTTAATTTAGCAATCAAACTTTCATGCCAAACACTGTCGAATGCTTTTTCTATGTCTAGAAGAGCAACTCCAGTTGAGCAGCCTTCAGATTTGTTTGAACGAATTAAATTGGTAACTCTTAAGAGTTGATGATGATTGAGTTCGTATTGATGTGAAGCATCATTCTATTCAAAATTATCTTTTCAATAAGTTTACTTACTGAAGAAAGCAAACTTATTCGACGGTAGCTAGAAGCTTCAGCTGGATTTTTATCCAGCTTCAAAATTGGAACAACTTCTGCATTTTTCGATTTATCAAGAAAGTATGCCAAATGGAAACGTCTGTAAGATAATTTTACCAAGAAAGACAAAGTACTCTCGAAGAGTTTTTTTGATGAGGATATAGAAAATTCCATCATCACCTGGAGCTTTCATATTATGAAATGTTTTAGTTATAGACCTTACTTCGTCCAAATCAGTCCTCCAGGAATAATCAAAAATATTTTCCCGAGAGAAAATATTCAGATAATCCCGAGCAACCTGATTCTCAATAGAACTAGTAAGATTCAAACTGAAATTATGGGAACCCTCGAATTGCTTAGCAAGTTTCTGAGCTTTTTACAAATTTGTGATCAAAATTTTATCACCTTCTTTAAGCGCTGGAATAGGCTCTTGAGGTTTTTTCAAATTTTTTGTTAGTTTTTAAAAGGGTTTGAAACTTGGGTCTAATTTAGAAACATTATTTTCAAAAGTTTTGTTCATCAGGGCAGATAATCGCTTTTTAATTTGATTTTGCAAATCCCGTCAGATAATTTTCATGACACGATCGCGTGTTCTTTGATATTGTCTCCTACGGACATTTTTAAGACGGATCAAGAGCTGAAGATCGTCGTCTATTCAGATTGAATCGAATTTAACCACACTTTTTGATATTGAGGCAGCTCTTGTTTCAACTATAGAAGTAGTCAGAGATTCAAGAGCATAATTAATTTAATCTTTGGTTTGCAAAGAAATATTTGGATCGAAGTTAAATTCCATAAATGTTCGATATTGCTCCCAATCTCTATGGTAGTTGAAAGTAGAGCTGTTGGGATTACAAATTATTTCTTGGAATATTTCAAAAGTTACTGGAAGGTGATCAGAACCGAAGTCAGCATGGGTAACCAATTGGCTACAAAGTTGACATGAATCAATTAAGACCAAATCAATAGTTGAGGGATCGCTTGCTGAAGAAAAGCATGTTGGGTCCAAATAATAGTGTAATAACCAGAACAATCTTCAAACAAAATACTACCATCGGAATTGCTTTGAGCATTATTCCATGAGCGGTGTTTTGCATTAAAATCACCAATAATGATGAATTTAGACATATGACGGGTAAGTTTCTCAAGGTCACTCTTGAGAAAATTCTTTTGATGACGTAAGTTTTCGAAATTTTGTTTCAACAGAAACTCCCAAAGTTTCAAAAATTTTGGTTTCAAATGAATAAAGAATTCTTTGTTTGATTCGCCTATGAACAATGCACAGTGGTCCAGAATGCAGATTTATGTGGAATGATATGTTTTGAGCTTGAAATTGAAACTTTAGACTTAAAGTTTTTTCTACAAAGTTGTTCCTTATAGTTAAGGCCTCATTTCTATTACAATGAATTCTAGGGTGGTTCCTATTATCATTGAAATCAAAAATCTTACTGTTTTGTTTGAATAAATTAAGGTATACATTTTCCGGCAAAGTTAAAGCTGAGCTAATTTCAAGTAACTTTGTTGGAAACAACTTTTTTTATCTCTTAAATTGGCCAATTTAGAGCTATTTTCTTGAATTGAGTTAGGGTGGCTCTACAAAAAACCGTTGTTTTGCTCTAGTTTTCTTATTTCGAATTTTTCAGCAAAGGTGTCTTCAAATATCTTTTAGATCTTAAAAAGACGCAACTTTTTGCTGCACAAAACTTGTCAATATCTTTCGCCGATCAAGAGTTATTGACGTTTTTATACTAAAAATATGCACTTTTCAAATGTTAATATCTCTGGTTGGGGTAAAAAAATGTTTTTTTTTTACGGCATTTGAAAGGACGTATGTTATTCTTAATAATTTGAAAAAATTGGAGGTATGTAATTTTTTAAACTCGTAAAAAAATAAATTTGAAATTATTCACATTTTTTACTATATTTGGGTATATCTTTTTTATCTGGAGAGATACAGGCAACAAATTTCTCTATGCAACATTCGTCTTAAAGAGTTTTAAAAGTCTCTAGAAACCGACTTTCATGATAAATTTCAAATAAAAAAGTTATTGGCAAAACATGGATTTCATAGGACCACTCTAATGACAAATTTAAATAACATATGCTAGTCCATTTGTTTAAATATTTGGTTCCAATTTCGGCAACACATATATTTTGACTTCTTAGTCTTCGACAAGATTTTATAATTAAAAAAATGATTATAGAATCACGTTGTGAGTAAGCTGAAAGCTGAAGAATGTCTCGCTGGATACGCCCAAGACTGGACGGGCGGTAGCTGGTGGCCGTGAACGGTTCCTGGGGAAAGCACTAGATGCGAACCTCCTCCAAGATCACCATGGCAATACAGGAAGTATTACAAAGGTAATTGCTATTAGATATTTTGAAAACAGTGACAAATAGCGGACATGAACAACCAGTGGAGGTGCCGGGCAAAGGTGTTTATTCTAGACAAATGGTAAGCTACAAATTCGCTGTTGTCGTTGTCGTAGGCGCCGTCGTAGTCGCTGTCGTATCCGCCGTCGCAGTCGCCATAGGCAGTACCATTAGTATATTTAAAATTAATTATTAACCGCTGAAAATATGAATTATTGCTTATTTCTGATGTTCATTACACGCCAAGTGAAATTCTAGAACGTAATTTCATTTGAATAGCTTGTTTAACCAGGTCTTAAACAATTGTCACGTCGGTCACAGCTTGTTATGATTGCCTGAACCATGCGTAAAGAGAAAATCGAAACATTAAACGTCGCGTGAAAGTGGATTTCAATGATGGCCTAAGTACTCTTTCGTAGCTTTTAGTTTTAGGATTTAAAAGGTCGTCGGTTGCAGTGGCTTGCTTACCGAGCAAAAAAGCTCGGTCCCAGGTCCTTTCATATTAAAAATGTATGGTAAGATCGCTTGTTTATCGTGTATTTTGTAAAACTTTTCGTTGTCGTCGGTGCCGGGTTTGAATAGTTATAAAAACTTGAGTAACGCTGTAATGTGATATGAGGGGCTCGGTGGCCTTAGAGAAACCGGTTTTGCTTTTTGAGCAGAACATCATGGGTCTAATCTCAAGCCCATCCACATTCAAGATTCGTCAATCGTTTTATTTGTTAACATGACTACATGGTAATAACAGCAAATCGATGATTAAAAAGGAGGTCGTCTGCCTAGTGGCAAACGTTTTTGCTTACTGAGCAGAAGACCGTGGGTTTAGTCCCAAGCTCCTTTGCGTTATATGATCATTAGGACATCAATTCAGCTTATCGTTTACCAAAACGAACCCTGCTGCAAACCCAACCCTCTTATCCAACATCCCAGTGATTCCTCGTGGAAGTGCAGAGGTGTTCTCGGCTTCCATCAAAGCGAGTGTCATGTCAACACAATCCTTCCCATTCCTTTCTTGACCTGTGTTCGGGCGCGGCCGGCGCTGGTATTGCCTAATTTAAGATCACCAGTTTTTACACATTGAGGATGATTGCTAGTCCCAAGCATCGTCTATTGGTTCTCTGTGTAATTACAGCTGATCTGGCAGTAACAGAGTAGCAACCGTAGGCGGTCAATCAAGCTCAAGCTCAAGCTCAAGCTAGAGGATTTCAAGAATTTAAGCACTGCAAATATATGCTACCTTTCCTCTAAAATAGGAATGGTTTGTGCAAACGCAAATGACGTGTCGGTCAAAGCAACCAAGTTTCAACAGCCTGTATTTTGCTTACCTACACCTTTCAGAACTTCGAGCTCTGCAGCTCATTTTTGGGTGTCGCATTTGTTCCTCGCTCGTATCTTATTCTCGCGTGTCTCTTTCTCGCTCATCACATGTTGTTTTCGTTGCGACGGGAGACGGTTTGTTGAGAGTCTCGGCAGCACATTTTTGCACACACGAGGAAAATTTAACTCTGGTTTCAACACTCCGAAGGGTATAAATAGCGGGACCTTTCAATTATAGTCGGATCCTTGCGATAAATGCAACTATGAAAACTAAAAAAAAAATCGAATCATCATTTCTCAATAGTGATGGAGTAATACGACATGCACCAAACTAATGACACGGGATATACTACAACAGATCAAATTACTGGTCGCAGTAGTGTTAGGTCCCGAACAGGGGAAAAATACAGCAAAAGTAAAAAAGCAAGTACAGACCTATTAACGTATTAATTTGATCCTTTCTATGCACTGAGAGAAAAAGTCTACAGCAAATAATACGATTGTATTATGGATTTATCCGCTAACACTTATGCTTTAAAAATAAATCGTGTGAGATGGTCGTATTGAACGATTCATTAACGGATAACAGATTATACGAATTCCTTGTAACAAATATTGACGACACTCCCTTCAAATGTCATTAGACTGACCAAATGGTTACATAGCGTTTAGTTTTCTGAGTGCAATAATGGTATTCCTTTAATCAGGCATTAATTAAAGTGTAATGTGATCAGCCCCAGCTCTGAACCAATTATTCCCGCAATGCTAATTTCCTCCTTGTTTTCGGTCTTTCCTTGCAGGCAGTCCAAAAGCGTATGACTACAACATTCGCCGTGGCCAAAAATCTTCACCATGATGCGAACCAAAATAACGAAACCATTCTACAGCGACCCGTTGGAAATGTGGCTGTGGTCGGCAACAAAACCAATCAATTATTTTAAGTTTGCAAATCATGCCGCAAGTGACTATCGATCCGGACTCGGGTTGCCGCGGGTGAGGGTGAACCTAAGCGCAACGCCTATTGACGCCGCGATATCTGTCGAGGGTGACCACCAAACAGATGAAACCGTAGCTGGCGATGGGACGGCACTCAACAATTATTGGGCTCTGTTGGCCATTGTGCTGGTGTTTGGCACCGCGGCCGGAAACATTCTCGTCTGTTTGGCCATCGTTTGGGAGCGGCGGCTGCAGAATGTAACCAACTACTTCCTGATGTCGCTGGCCATCACCGACCTAATGGTGGCCCTCTCGGTGATGCCACTCGGCATTCTGACGCTGGTGAGAGGTAAGTACTCGGTTAAAGCTTTGGATGGTTTTTTTTCCCGGGAAATCGGACCAGTAATTGGTGTATTCTGTTTGCTTTCTCTGATGATGACGATTCTTATTTGTTATTCAAATAACATCTCAAAATTGGCCATCATGCCGAGTGAGCTTGCGCTTTTTCAACGGTTCCAGGGGTATCCCACTTGTAGAAAAAGAGAAGACCAGTTCTCAAACCATGGAAGGTTTTATAAAAATAATCCATTCACATGCAAAGAAAAAAACGGAACGAATCTCGTCTCGTTGAAAACCACTTCGTTGTGGAAAGCTTACGCTAGTTGGCGGCTGTTTTATAATTCATTTAGGAAGGGAGTGTTTATGTTGTCAAGCATGGGAAAATTCATTCACTCGCGCAAGTCATCCTCACCTACAAACAGATTGCTGACCGAGTGAAAATTCTTCCAGCCATGTGACCAGGGTTGCCAAGTTATATTTTTCTAAAAATCTGACTTTTGTAGAAAAAAAAACCTGGCTTTGTTTAGATCATGCTTGGGAATTGTCATACTGAAAAATTCTCGCAAACAACAATTTCTTAAAACAGCAAAAAAGGGTTATCTTCCATTTAATTCCACTTAATTAATTTTGGTATCCATGACAGATACGTATTTCGACTACAATGTGCAGTCTTCATCAGTGTCATTCCCACTAAAGAACTTATCAAAATCTTACCCCCTTAAGTACTCATCCCATAGGTAAAAAAAGTCATGATCATAGGTATAAAAATGAAACTACAATGTGTTGAATCGGAACCTACCTAACTAATAAAAACCAAAGATTTAAGTAAGCTAAAGGAGAAAAATCTATACAACTATCTAATAAGGAAAATCCCCAAAGGCTTGGTAGCCATCATAATGAAGTAATGAAATTGGGTTGTTAGCGGAATGCTTTAATAAAACAGCAAAAAAGGTTATCTTCCATTTAATTCCACTTAATTAATTTTGGTATCCATGACAGATACGTATTTCGACTACAATGTGCAGTCTTCATCAGTGTCATTCCCACTAAAGAACTTATCAAAATCTTACCCCCTTAAGTACTCATCCCATAGGTAAAAAAAGTCATGATCATAGGTATAAAAATGAAACTACAATGTGTTGAATCGGAACCTACCTAACTAATAAAAACCAAAGATTTAAGTAAGCTAAAGGAGAAAAATCTATACAACTATCTAATAAGGAAAATCCCCAAAGGCTTGGTAGCCATCATAATGAAGTAATGAAATTGGGTTGTTAGCGGAATGCTTTAATAAAACAGCAAAAAAGGTTATCTTCCATTTAATTCCACTTAATTAATTTTGGTATCCATGACAGATACGTATTTCGACTACAATGTGCAGTCTTCATCAGTGTCATTCCCACTAAAGAACTTATCAAAATCTTACCCCCTTAAGTACTCATCCCATAGGTAAAAAAAGTCATGATCATAGGTATAAAAATGAAACTACAATGTGTTGAATCGGAACCTACCTAACTAATAAAAACCAAAGATTTAAGTAAGCTAAAGGAGAAAAATCTATACAACTATCTAATAAGGAAAATCCCCAAAGGCTTGGTAGCCATCATAATGAAGTAATGAAATTGGGTTGTTAGCGGAATGCTTTAATAAAACAGCAAAAAAGGTTATCTTCCATTTAATTCCACTTAATTAATTTTGGTATCCATGACAGATACGTATTTCGACTACAATGTGCAGTCTTCATCAGTGTCATTCCCACTAAAGAACTTATCAAAATCTTACCCCCTTAAGTACTCATCCCATAGGTAAAAAAAGTCATGATCATAGGTATAAAAATGAAACTACAATGTGTTGAATCGGAACCTACCTAACTAATAAAAACCAAAGATTTAAGTAAGCTAAAGGAGAAAAATCTATACAACTATCTAATAAGGAAAATCCCCAAAGGCTTGGTAGCCATCATAATGAAGTAATGAAATTGGGTTGTTAGCGGAATGCTTTAATAAAACAGCAAAAAAGGTTATCTTCCATTTAATTCCACTTAATTAATTTTGGTATCCATGACAGATACGTATTTCGACTACAATGTGCAGTCTTCATCAGTGTCATTCCCACTAAAGAACTTATCAAAATCTTACCCCCTTAAGTACTCATCCCATAGGTAAAAAAAGTCATGATCAAGATATCAAGATAACCTTTTTTGCTGTTTTATTAAAGCATTCCGCTAACAACCCAATTTCATTACTTCAACAATTTCTTGTCGCCCCACAAGATCAAGACTCCATCCAGTCACGACTCTCTACTCTTAAGAATCCTATGTCACTCATATTGTTCCCAGTAACAAAGTACGACCACAGACAAACAGACATAACACATTGAATATTTCTCACTGTAAAACATCGTCGTTAAAACATTACCGCCATCTGTTGAGTATACTGTGGTGGGCTACGCTGAACAGATGGCGTTAATGTGTAAACGTCAAACGCAAGGGAATTGACTATGCGCGCCACAGGTAGTGGCACAAGATCTGTAATTTAGATTAATGGGCACAAATGTTCACAACTAGCCAGAATACAGTCATAGTTCCTATATATGGATCCTGGAGACAACGGAACGGTCCTCAAAAAGCCGGAACATCCGTAAAAGTGGTCAATCCATGAACTGGATCCTAAAGCTCGGCGGTGTTTTTGAAAACATTAGGAACTGTGATATAAAAAAAAAACTATTTGGGGTCGTGACATAAACATGTACCTGTATGGCAGTGGGACCGTCGTCCGGAAGATCTGGAACATCCGTTAAAGTTGACAATCCATGAAACTGATCCTAGAGCTCCGCGTTTTTTTAACATTAGGATCTGTGATATAAGAATGAATTTGGGTCATGGATCCAGATGGCCATCGGAACGTCCAGTGGAACATCCGGAACATTCGTAAAAGTGGTAAATGCACGATCCTGATCCTAGAGCTCCGTGTTTTTATAAACATTAGGAATTGTAATGATAAAAAGAATTTGTTGTTGTGACATAAAAATGAACCTGGATGCCCATGGTATCGTCTTCCGGAAGATCCGGAACATCCGTAAAAGTGATCAATCCATGAAACTCATCCTAGAGCTCCGCAGTTTTTGAAAAACACTAAGAACTGAGATGATAGAATGAATTTGCGGTTGTGACATAAACATGGACCTTGATGGCCATCGGACCGTCCTCCGAAAATTCCGTAAAAGTAGTCAATTTATGGAACTGATCCTAGAGCTCCACGATTTTACCCTTCTTACAAAGAAGGGTATAGATATCACTTGAAAAACCGACTATCGATCCGAGGCCCGGAGGGCCGAGTGTCATATACCATTCGACTCAGCTCGACGAGATCGGAACATGTCTGTGTGTGTGTGTGTACGTGTGTATGTGTGTATGTGTGTGTGTATGTAACGAAATGAATGCGCTCACGTTTCTCAGCAACCGCTCAACAGATTTGGACAAACTTGGCGCCAAATGATAGGTCTTGACGCTTTTGAACGGTTTTGGAATCGGTGAACCGGTTCCGGAGATATGGCCGGAATAAGATCCGGTGAATATGGGCCTTCACGCTAGATTTAACGGAAAACGTATCAAAACCATCATGCGACACATCAAATTACTACAGAATTCAAAAATAAGATCAATGCAAGTCGTGTTAAGTGTTCCACACCACATTGGACACACTTGGACATGTTCCGGGTACCCCGGGGAAGTTGCTTGAATATGAATTGAATTAAAACCCATTAAATCACATTAAAATACGATGATAAGGTGATTGGTAGCCTCACCAAATAGACTACACCCGGATATATTCCGGGTACCCCCAGGCAGTGGCGTAGCGTCACTGGATGACACGGGGGTGGGGGGCTTGGTCACTGATAATGACAATAAAATAAATAAACTTGAATAAGTAAGAAGGGTCTGATCACACCATAGGTGGATAAATTCGGTTTTTTTTTCGAAATCACTTGGAACTGTCATACATAAATTAATTTGCGGGCGTGACATAAACATGTACCTAGAAGGCCATGGGACCGTCGTCCGGAAGATCAACAATATCCGTAAAATGGTCACTCCATAAAATTAAGAGGTTGAAGCAGTACTATGACGAGCACCTCAACGGTGATGCATCAGAAAACAAAGGTGGCAAGGCAACAGACCTTAGAGCACGCGCAGAAGACGACAGGCTATAGGCCCCTGATCTTCAAGAAGTTGTGGAGGAGATCGGTCGGCTGAAGAACAACAACAGTAACTGGTGTAGATCAACATCCAAGTGAGCTATTAAAACACGGTGGTTAAGCACTGGCTAGAGCGCTGCACTGGGTAAATGCCAAGATTTGGGAGGAAGAGATATTACCGGAGGAGTGGATAGAAGGTGTCGTATGCCCAATCTACAAAAAGTGCGACAAGTTGGATTGCTGCAACTACCGCGCGATTACACTGCTAAGCGCCGCCTACAAGGTACTCTCGCAAATTCTATGCCGCCGCCTGTCACCATTTGCAAGAGATTTCGTGGGGCAATACCAGGCGGGATTCAGGTTCTGCAGAAATGCCGCGAATACAACTTGCTTACACATCATTTGTTCATCGATTTACAATCCGCATACGACACAATCGATCGTGATCAGCTATGGCAGATTATGCACGAGTATGTATTTCCGTATAAACTGCGTCAAGGCGACGATGGATCGAGGGATGTGCGTTGTTCGAGTATCGGGGACACTCTCGAGTCCCTTTGAATCTCGAAGGGGGCTGCGGCAAGGTGATGGACTTTCGTGTCTGCTATTCAACATCGCGTTAGAAGGTGTGATCAGAAGAGCTGGGGCAGACACGAGAGGCACGATCTTTAGGTAGTCCATCCAGCTTCTTGGCTTCACCGATGACATCGACATTATGGCATGAAGCGTTGAGACGATGGCGGAATCGTACATCAGACTGAAGGCTAGGCGACTGGACTTGCCATCAACGCAGAGGGAGAGGTTCTAGGGAAG